TCTTAATTGCATTAAGCACAATAATTCATAGACTATATAAAAATCACAATCTTGGATAAATCATAAAGATAAAAATATATTCATTAACATAATTAAGCTTTCCTCAGCCCTAGAAAGAAATAAATAGTTCATGATGAGAGAATTAAAGCAAACAAAGGGAAAGAAAGAACTCTTGAATTCGTCTATGGTGCTGAGATCTCTTCTTCTTGTCGCCACCTTCTTCTAGAGATTTCTTGACTTCTTTTCTCCTCTCTTGACTGATAGCTCAATGCAATTCGTGATCCCCTCCAGAGATTGAGTGATTCATTGATCCCGTGATACCTAAAGGGGAGGGGATGGTCTCCTACTTTCTCTTGAAGTTGATATTTACAAGAAATAGAAAGTCCTATCCTAATTCTAATCCTATCTCTTTATCTCTTGAACTCAATTCTTTTATCACTCTATGATTACATCAAGAATTTAAATCTAGAAGGATTCTTCTTAGTTTCTTGTTCTTGAATTCGTAATAGACCTCCTCTGCGAATTGGGCTTCAGCCAGGCTTTTTTGCGAGTTGGGCTTCAGTTGCGGATTGGGCCTTCCTACAAAATTGCCCCAACTTTGGGCCCGGATTTGACTTCGATGCATGCCGAATCTGCGAAAGCCCAAAACATGAAAGTTGTGGCTTTTGCTCTTATCTTTCCAGTGGATCTTGAATCAGCCCATTTGGAGTTCGGAAACGCGAGTTACGCCCAGATCACTGAACGATGTCGAAATTGTGAAAAATCATCCGATTTGTCTTTCTTTGCTCTTGATGCCTTCTTTCATACCCTAGACCAAAATACAAGAGATATGAGTCCAATTAGATGCTAATTTAGTATAAAAAATAGAATAATTGGGGATAAAAATATGATAAATTCTACTCTCATCAATGAGATTCAGGAACTCCGATAGTGCTTGGAAGAGTTGGAGCGCAACCAAGGCTAGAGAAGCACAATGCCCGTTGTAGATCAGCCCGCACAACCAGCTATGCCAACCACTAAGGAACAGCCTTTCACTTAGGAGATTGTGGACGAGGTGCCTCCCATAGGACGGCAGGCACCTCAGCTAGACAAGTACGACAGGAGTACTGATCCCGTTGATCACATCGAAGCACTGAAGGCCCAGTTGATGTTGCATAGATCTTCCGAGGGCCTAATGTGCAAAGCCCTAGTGGCCACCCTCACGGGTCCAGCCCTAACCTGGTATTCCTCTCTACCTCCATGTTCCATCATGTCGTGGGAGCAGTTGGAAACTCAGTTCCGTGCACAGTTCAAAACGAGCCAAAAATACTGGAAGACCTTAGCCAGCCTTATGCAAGTGGGCTAAAGGAAAGCTGAATCTCTCAAGGATTACTTGGCGAGATTCAACAAAGAGGCATTACAGGTCAGAAACCTGAAGTAGTCCATGGCTATCACCGCTATTCAACACACCCTCCACCCATCGCCATTCAACTTCTCCATCTCCAAGAACCCCCCATAAACCCTCGTCGCGCTGATGATTCATGCACAGAAATACATCAACACAAAAGAAGTGCAAGCACAACTGTGGTACGAGGAAGAGAGATCAGACAAGAAGAGAGACACCGAGGAGCGGAAGTCAAAGAGATCAGACTGGGACTGTAAGAGGCAGGACCACCGATTTGATCATAAACTGCGGACACCTCCGCCGACCTATTGGAACTTTATGCCACTAAACACACTGCGGTCTGAGGTTCTGATGCAAATTCGTGACCACAGCTACGTCCGGTGGCCTGAAATGATGAAGACACATGGGAACAAGAGGAATCATGACAAGTACTGTGAATTCCATAGGTACCCTAGCCATGACAAGGATAACTGCTTCGACCTATGCAACCGCATCGAGGACCTGATCAGGCATGGGTACCTTGGCGGGTTCGTTGACAAGAACGAGAAGCCTGTGCAGGAGGAATGTGTAGAGAATGCTCGACCACAACCCCGAGCCCCTCCTGCTAGTGTGATCCACGTCATATCGGGAGGAATCGCCGCAAGAGGGGAAAGTAGCTCAGGGTGCAAGAAATATGCACGTTTATGCGAGATTGACAACTGCGGGCACAAGAAGAAGTGTGGCCTATCTATCACCTTCACCGACAATGATCTCTGGGGAGTCCAAACCCCGCACGACGATGCCTTGGTTATCATAGCCGAGGTTTCCAACTTTGAGATACGGTTGATTATGGTTGATATAGGTAGCTCCGTTGATGTGCTCTTCGAGGATGTATTTGAGAAGCTCGACATAGACAAAAATCACCTCACTTCCATCAACACTCCCCTAATGGGTTTATCCGGAGAGTCCCTCTTGCCCACAGGAAGGATAACCCTTCCCCTCTAGATCGGGGATGGCGACATTACTGCAATGACCATGGTAGACTTCATCGTGGTTTGTTGCCCCTCATCCTACAACACCATCCTTGGCAGGCCGACCCTTAATGCTCTATAGGCCACAGTCTCCACATTCCACCTTGCCATGAAGTTCTCCACCGAGTATGGAGTGGGCATGATGTGTAGAGACCAAAGAATTGCATGGCAATGATACCGGCTCTCCTGTCGAGGACCACACCCTACCATAGAAACATTGATGGCGGAATTCTATGATTTAAGGGACGAGGTGAGAGCACATCATGGCCAACTTGTCGAAGACCTCATCCAGGTTCCATTCAATGAAGAAGACCCTGAGAGGACGGTCCATATCGGCTCCCTCCTAGATGACTGCCTCCGGGGAGAGCTTGTGTAGCTATTGAGGGACTACGCCGACGTGTTCACCTAGTTAGTGGTGGATATGCTGAGGATCGACCCTAAAGTCATCACGTACCACCTGAACGTTGACCCACGCTACCAACCTATCAAGCAGAAGAAGAGGAGCTTCACAACAGAGTGGCAAGTGATCACAGACGAAGTGCAAAAGTTGCTCGACGCCGGCTCCATTCGGGAAGTCAAATACCTCGACTGGCTAGCAAACGTGGTAATGGTGAAAAAGGCCAATGGGAAGTGGAGGATATGCATCGATTTCACTCACCTAAACAAAGCCTGCCCCAAAGATAGCTTCCCTTTATCGAGGATTGATCAGCTCATCGATGCCATGGTAGGTCATGAACTCCTGAGCTTCAAGGAATCTTTCTCGAGGTACAACCAGATTCGAATGCACCCTGACAATCAGGAGAAAACGGCTTTCATCACTGACTACGGCCTATACTGCTACAAGGTAATGTTCGGCCTTAAGAACGCAGCGCCACTTATCAGCAGCTAGTGAACAAGGTATTCAAGGATCAGATCGACCAAAACGTGGAAGCATATGTCGACGACATGCTTGTGAAGAGCAAGAAGGCCAAGCACCCCCTTGCCGACCTAAAGGAACTCTTTGACACCCTTAGGAAGTATAAGATGAAGCCAAACCCAACCAAATGTGCTTTCGGGGTCAGCTCTAGTAAATTCCTGGGGTTCATGGTGACACAGAGAGGGATAGAAGCCAACCTAGAAAAGATACATGCCATCCTTGACATGCAATCACCCCGGTCACATAGAGAAGTGTAGTGACTCACCGGTAGAGTAGCCACCCTCAGCAGGTTTATGTCTAAATCCACAGACCGGTGTCTGCCCTTCATCAAAGCCTTCAAGTGATCAAAAGACTTCTAGTGGACCGAGGAATGTGGATGGTCCTTTCAAGAGCTGAAGCAGTACTTGAGCTTGCCACCTCTTCTCACCAAACCGAGCCTAGGGGACGAGCTACTACTCTATCTCTCAGTCGGGGATGAGGTCGTTAGCTCAGTTCTGGTTAAGGAAGAAGACCAGGTACGAAGGTCAATATACTATAACAGAAAGGTCCTTAGTGGTGCGGAAACCTATTACTCCAACTTGGAAAAAATGGCACTATCATTGGTCACCTTGACTAGGAAGCTCAAACCATATTTCCAAGCCCACAATGTCAAAGTGCTCAGCCCCTCAAGCAGGTCCTTCAAAGGCTAGAAGCATCTGCTCGCCTAGTCAAGTGGAGCGTAGAGCTCAGTGAGTTCAACATCGAGTATGCACCCCATCCCGCGATCAAGGCCCAATCTCTAGCAGATTTCATCGCTGAGTGTACCTTTATTTCCGAAGGCCCGACCCCGCTGCCACAAATATGGACTCTGCATGTAGATGGCTCATCAAATCATCAAGGCAGTGGGGCTGAACTCAGTCTCTTCGGCCCAGATGATATTGTGCTAGAACACGCTCTCAGATTCAAGTATAAAGCATCGAATAACGAGGCTAAGTATGAGGCCCTAATCACGGGACTTCGGCTTGCCCTGGACCTGGGAGCTCAGAGAATAGAAGCCTTCAACGGCTCTCAACTGGTAGTCAGCCAGATCCATGGCTAGTTCGAGATGAGAATGCCCACCATGGTGAGCTATCTATAGTAAGTACAATAGCTCGTCCACTAACTCGAGCACTTCAACATCCAGTAGATCCCTCGAGTAGAAAATGTATGAGCTGATGCACTATCCAATCTAGCAAGTTCCCAAAAAACCTACCTCGACACGATGGTATAGTTGGACACACTGGCCCAGCCGAGCATCGCACCGACGACCCTCCTTATCCTCCCAATATAACACGGTTCATCCTAGATGGACCCCATTACACAATACCTTCAGGAAGGCACTCTTCCAGAAGATTGGACAAAAGCAAAGAGGTTACAACATAGAGCAGCCCGGTACTGTTTTATCCAAGGTCAGCTCTACTGTTGCTCGCATACTCTCCCGTACCTGAAGTTCCTCTCCCCAATCGAGGAAAATTACATCCACAAGGAGATCTACGAAGGTATCTGTAGAGACCACCCCGGCATGCGCACCTTGGCACACAAGGCACTCCAGCAAGGTTATTTCTAGCTGATGATGAAGCAAGACGCAGCCCAACTAGTTCGGAAATGTGATAGTTGACAGTGACATTCCAATCTCCATCATCAACCTATAATCCCCTGAAGTCGATCATTAGCTCATGGCCATTTGCACAATGGGGTATGGACATCCTCGGTTCCTTCCCCTCCATGGTTGCATAGAAGAACTTCCTCCTAATAGTAGTGGATTACTTCACCAAATGGGTGGAAGCTTAAGCTCTAGCACACATTACAGTTGGTGTATCCGAAAGTATGTCGTTAACCACTTTGGAACACCAGTTTCAATATTTATAAATTTTTTCGATTCTCAAAATAACTGCAAATGCAATTAGTGGTGAGAAAGGGGATGTATCCATCCATAGGGAAGCGAGGGAAAAATCATTACATACTTCAATCCAAACAAAATAACATGAATGGAGATTGCAGAAACACCAAAATTAAATAATTAAACTAGAATCCATTAAAATAAAATTCTAACAATGCTAAAAGTGAAACTTGCAAAAAGATAAATAAATGACAGAAATAATAAATAAAAAAAACTAAATAGAAAGTTTGCAACTCGGTCAGAGGTAGTAGTCTTTGGATCTATCCTTTGACCCTCGAACTTCTTGAGCTAGGCCTTCCGTCTTGCCTGGCCGAATTTCAGATCTGCAGAAAGGAAGACAAAAATCAAACTAGATAAAAGTAAATTGCAGAAATAAAAATAAGTACTGGAAGTTAAAGAACAAAAAGTAAATCTGAAACTAATGGTAAATTGGTTGGGATCCGAATCCAGAGGTGGTAGTAAGGGCTAGGCGAACTGCAAGCAGGAACCCCTCCTCTTGCCTGAGCGTTCTCCTCTTCCTCTACCCTTGAACTTATCAAGAACATCCTCCCATCTTATCTGGGAGCAGAATCCAACCCCTTCTCTGGACCCTTGGGGTCCTTTTTATAGAGAAGGGTGGATAAAACTAGGATTAGAGATAAAGAGGGAGTGGTAGCTGGGTTTTCGTAGAAATATGGGTGCCCTAGGGTTTAGAATGGAGGGTTAGGATTATTCTAAGGTGATCTTAAGGCTGAGAAGAGAAGGAGAGGGTGCCCAATATTATGTAGGGCTAAGACTTGGGTGCCCAGAATTGGATGGTGGATATTAAAAGGAGTGATTGGCACCCTAGGGTGAATGGCTGAGATATAGAGTGAAATAGAGGGCTGAGATCTAGTGGCTAAAGGTTGAATGGTCAGGATTAAAAGTTAGGTGGTGTCCTAGGGTTAGAATGCACTCCAAAGAGGGTGCCTTAGAATGGAGGGTGGAGATTAGATGTTAGGAAGGGATGGAAGGTGAGGATTTAGTAGTTAAGGGCGGATAGGGTTTGTTAGAAATGAAAAGAATGAGTGGAGAGGCGCCCTAGGGTTTGCTAGGGAGAGGGGAGTATGCTAATACAGATGAAGGGGCATCATTCTGGGTTTAGCAAATAGGAGGTGCCCTCCTGTAATCAATTTTTCACAAAAACACCTCTCTCAGCCGGAATTCACACCAACTTCCCAAAAACTGCATTTATACCTTGAAATTTCCCCAATTTTCCCCAAGATTTGCACAAAGACCCTCAAAGGTCACAATATTGAATCTAACTAAGGGGACATTTTGACTATTCTAAGGCCTAAAATACCCTTGAAATGATGCCCTTAAGGCATCAAACTAAAAAGTTATCACACCCCCAACTTAACCATTGCTAGTCCCTTAGCAATGCAGCCTTAAAATTACACTAAGTAAAGGGATCATTGCATTGCAAAATCATCATTGACAAAATTAGCCAAGTTTCCTGATTTCAGAATTCTCAAACTTTGTATAGATTGGTATCAGGCTTAAGGGGTAAAACTGTATTGCTTTGAACATTACAGAAACTTGGCTTAAAAATCTTATATACCCTTCCATTTGTACACTGTCTTGATAAGCTGAGATTGATTTTTAAAATCAAGCGAGTATTCTTCTTATCATTTCTAACAATGGATTTCTAACCCTGAACTTGATATGCACACTTATTTTTATTGCTACCTTCCATCGTTTGACGCGAATCTCGACACTTGCCTTAGGTGAAGAGACCCGATTACCAAGTGTTAGGTGATTGTCTTTGGCATTCCCTTTTCCGTTTAACATGAATCTCAACACTTAACTTAAGTGAGGTAACCCGATTACTAAGTCTAGGGTGTCTATTGACCTTTTATTTTCTTTTTTTTTTGAAACACTATTCAGGGTAGTCCACTGTCTCTGACAATTTGAATTTTTTGTCTAGTTTCTCAATCTTTCTCTTCTTATCCTGTTAGTGGCAAACATGGGAATATTTTCCAATTTCTAAATTGTTTCGATAATATTCAAATAAGACCAATTTTGACTCCTATCACTTGCTCCCAATTTCTATAAAATTCAATATTATTCTATCAGTTTCCTCAACTTTTTCTATTTGGAAATCTCTTTTAATGGAAAGAAT